GTGTCGGTTAGCTTAAACAATGGCTGGGTTTCTCGTAACATGGAGTGAAACGTAGCTGCCATAAAAAACGTCAAGCACTCATCTGAGTATAACCTTGCTAATGACGTGTTATATCTGCTAAATATTGTGAAATTACCGTTTCGTAAAGCGGCAAATCCACTGAACCAAAACGAGTCAATAGACGGAACCAGGGCATAAATTCCCCTTAACCTCATTGCTAAGGGTCTCTCATATTGCCATAAACAATCGCTCAAACATTTGGCTTTCCAAGAGTAAATATGCTTCATGAATAGCAAGCAACGCCTGCAACTGTCGTCTTATATTTGGCCAGCACGCACGCGACCATTTCGGGCTGGCCACATCACCTTTATATCTTCAACGATAAATGGGCCAGATCTATCAAGCATTGAACGCAAAGAATAAAACACCCCTTGGTTATCACATATTAACCAAGTACTCGGAATTTTATAGTTCCTCCGTAAATTAAGCCCCCTAATAATGAAATGAAGGACGATAAGAAGACAAAAAGGGAATGATTGATCCATAAAAGTTCCGTCCTTTCAAAAAGGTGAGCGTCAGACAACAAAGAAAATTCAAGATTCAGGAATAATAGCAATAAATAAAATAAATAAATAGATAAATAAAAATAAGTGCTCAACAGGAAGCTCTTCTCGATAATTCATGAGTTTTTCTATAAATAAAATACTAGTTCGCCTCCAAAAGCGAAGTCAGCCAATGACAAACTGCTGTAACAGTTCTAATAGTACTGCAATTATTTAAATGACATACCCGGCAGGTCACCATGGAGTACTTCAAGCAAATAGTCGACCATTTTTGTTGACAGCATCTGTGCTGCCAAGTCACCGTTGTTCCTCCGCATTAAGCATTTCAACGCATGCGCAGATTCATGCATCAAGGCTATAAAAAACATTAAAATGGAGCCATAACATTTCTGAAAACAAAGCCAGTCAACACTTACTTGGCTGATTCTTCATGGATGTCATAATTCCTTCAATACAATTGATTCGAGAAAGAGCATCAGCACAATACTGCAATATGGAGAACATTATCATTCGCAGGAGTAAAATGTGAGCAGTAACTGTTCCCACACTTACGTGATTTTCAGCAAGTTGTTGAAGTATTAAAATAGCCGAGCGAGAAGTTTGGGGATCTCGAGCTGACATCGCCTTACTGAACTGGGGGAGATATCCTTGCGCTGGCAACTAGAAAGCATAAAATAGTTCTTGTCCTGAAAAACTATCAGAGAATACACAGCTTCCCACCTAAAATCAAAATCAATCTTACTGATCTACATGGCAAATCTCTGACCCGTTCTTCAATGTTATACTTGCGGCACGCATTCTCATAACTGTCAGCACCACAGCTATTTCGTGTCCTAGTCAATTTATAGGCACGAGGCACCCGCTCCGGGCACACTGGATCAATGCCGACAGACGCGCCGCGCATGCACATTTAATTCAGGCCAAGCTTGACTCTAATTTTTCGGACTGGGTCAGGTTACGAGTAGGCCGAAGTTGAGTCAGTCAGGATGCCAGCACAGCGCAAATAACTTGCTTCTGCACGAATTCGAGCACGTCGCATCCATCGCAACGTGCTTGAGTAGATTGACCGATCAATAGTTGAACTTATGAGAACAAAAACTTGCTTGGTTCTCTTGGAATCACATTATGCGCTGATCATATGAGCAAAGTGAGCACCACACCATCACCTGAGCCTGATTGGTTAGCCTTTTCTTTTGTTTCGGTAGAATACTGTAAATGAAAAGGTGCTAGCCAATGGACCCTTGAAGGAGGATTCCACGATAAGAACGAAGGTCGAAGAAGGGGAAATTGCCTAGTTGGGAGACAGGCGGACCTCCTGAGGGTGCTGACGACGCGCAATTGGCAGCGAAAGATTTGACCTCGGCGATCTAGCATGGCTCACTCTTGGCGCGGTTGGCGGGGTACGCCCACCGACTATCTAATCACTCGCCGCGAGTGATTAGATAGCAGAGAGAGCGTAGTGTTGAAGAGGGCACAGCGATGAGAGTCGCATCAATGCGCAAATCAACGGGCAAGGAAGGGGTCCCATTTCTCGGGTTCTGGGCCGTTTCTCATGGTTTTTCCTTCTTTCGTGTACCACTCACCATCCTAGTTAGAAATGGGTTGCTTTCATCGTGGATTCCGCCTTTGAAACAATATAGCGCACTGACCGCATAGGCGGAGATCAAAACCCGAGCATACTACCAGTGCGCAATGTATATTGGGGTCCCTTAGACGTTTTTCTGGACTTTTCCATTACTGCTGACCGATCACCTCAACGACTTTCAATTCAGATCCAATAACTTACACCTGTCACTTGCAAAAAGCGTTTTTCAGAAGAATGAGCATTCCCTTTTTTTGAACAAAAGTTTCCGATTTAACCTGCTGTTTGAAAAATCAGTCACTGAGTGAGATGTACAATTTATCGATAGTAATCAGTGTAGGGCTCAAAATATTCAAAAGCATGTGTAAAATCACCTGGTCAGCTGTATTGGGGAAGTTCCGCAGCAGCTCAATGAATGCAGTCGTCACAAGTGTTAGGTCTGCACTCGGCTTATTCATTAACTCCAGAACCCTGGAAAAGACGTGAGACGTGAACCTCTTTCTAAACCCTGGACTCTTTCCAACTCACTTCTCAATAAGTTCTGTAGCAAACTGTCGCGGATGTCGAACAGCCCATGCCGGATTTGCGACGTATAATCGGACGAAAACACCACCAACGACTAATTCGCCCGTTACCGAATCAGAATAGGCACAAGTGTTGTCAGTTAATGACCCCTAGAATAGCGTAGCAGTGAGTTGTCTTGGCTAGCAATGAACTATTCGACTTACGGTGTCCCATTTGTGCTCAGGGTTGCTAGACTGCGCTCGATACAGCTCCTCTGTCCCTCGTTCAATAATCTGTCGCACTTTGACGCGTGTCGTCTCATTCCATATCAGCTCTGGATTCTCATTGGTCGAATCGAACATCGTGATGCTGAAATCACTGATCGATCAATTTATAATGGGTAGAACTCACAATATTCCATTTTCTACTGCTGTTCAAAGGATTAACCAATCAGGGTTGAGCACAAACTCGAAATAAAATCAGCAAAATACATTGAAACGCTCAAAGGTCCGAAAAGTAGCACTACTTTGCTCACTGCTTCCAACATTTAAAAGACGTCGCGAGGAATAAACAAAACCCACGCTGTGTTAGGAGAATCTCGAAGAGCGTCCGCAAAGATTGGTGGCAGGTACTTTGTTATGAAACGGGTCCATCGAGGTCCGGTCAATTTGTCGGACTGGAATAATAAAACTAAGCAGATAGACTTTAGAATACTGAGTAAATCCCTCAAAGAAATACATTTCTTGACTACCAGAAAAAACCAAGCGTTTAATGTAGAACATAAACCGACAATACATCAACAAACAACACAAATAATATCCAGACGTCTAGAAAAATACCTGAAGTTTTGTTAACAATTCAGCAGCCAGCAACCTCTCACCGGGGTCGCTCTCAGAGGAACACAATACCGACAATATGTACAGTAAACCTCCTGGAAAATGAAACTACTTTTTGGAATTACCGTATTATGCTAGCTTGATACTCTTTTTTAGACCACTAAATTACCATATTCCAACATTTCCTTTACTTATTTGGCATTCGACGAAGGCTATCCCAATGTGTTCAGGAGAATCGCGAACGAAGCATGGAAATATACGAAGTAATGGCTATTGGAAAGTAGAATTCAAAATCTATGATCAAGTATAAACAAAATAGTTCGGAACAAGCGGCTCAGTAATACTAAGAAGAGATATCCCATTTTAATGCTAATTCTCAAAAGTAACAACCGCACTTTACCCAGACACCTGCCTAAGCGGGCTCACGGACGGCAGGCTTATTACGATGGACGAAAAATACAATATGCGAAAAGCATACATTTCTTCCGCGCATTTCATTTTTACACGCTTTCTATTTTCTTACATTTTACATTATTACATTTTTAAACACATATCAGAACTTGCAAACTTTCAAAACGTTTCAATTGAGATTTACGGAAAACCATTCACCTTCTTTCCTGTCTCTCATGAGAACAAACAGTGATGAGCAAGCGTGGAGATTTTGATAAAAATCCTGCACACATTCTATGGGGCGCACTGGTGCCAACGATAAACAACTAGGAATTAATCTTCATCAGCATAGAAAATAGTGAGAAACCTACGGAACACTTTCAGGACAGCAAAAAGCACTTTAGAGTGGCCAGCTGAATGTTTGGGAATAGACGAGCACGAAGATAAGCAATTATGAGATTGAAGTGACCAATGAGCAGAATTTCCACCCCTGCAAATCATCATGTCAAAAATTTTAACAATGTAGTCGAAATACGAGAAAATCAGAAACATAGGATATGCAGAAGCCAAAATCAACGGAAATATCCAACTAAGCTATGCTAAAAGAGCACCACTGAAGGAACCAAAAAAAAACAACACTTGACAGAAAAAAACTCACTCTTATCATCGACTAACATGTGAACTATAAATTAAAAGAGCTCATGAATCATCGGAAATCATGAATTATTATATTTACAATCTGTTGTTCCTGTTCGTCACGAACAGCTCTGTTTAGCCTTATTCACCGACGAGATGCGTGTAAACTTCCAAATCTTACGTGGTAGCGTCGCTATGGCCACTACAACTCGGGTAACCGACAGGAGGCCGCTCGGGCAAAAAAAAAAAAAAAAGGCAAAACAATGCGGCGTCAGCCCGGACGAGTCGCAGCGCCTTCTTTAGAGGTTTCGCGTCAAGGTAAATAAAATGTACCATCATACGCCCTACACCACGCATCACGCGCTCACGCGCTGCGACTCGTCCTTTGATTCTGCGTTCTTTCGGGCGACGAGCTCCTGTCGGGTACTACTACTCCTCCACCCATCGCGCTACTGAAGAGACTAAAATATGTACGTGACCATGCATAGTTAGCTTTTCGCTCAAAGCGCAGCGCGGTAGACCAGCAGTTGGGGAGCGGATACAACTCGCGAACTGGACATAATGGAAACGAGAGGGGCCCAGAGCGTCATGCAGTCGGTTGTGAGCAATCATATTAAGCTTCTTTCTCCAGGAAGACTATCTCATCGGGAAACCTCAATTTGAAGCCATGAAACCGTCTTCAAGAATTTTCGAACTTCCTGACTTTAGTTGCAACTTTGTCTCCATTCCTATTATCTGATCTCTATGTAAGTATGAATGTTAGCGCCAAGGAATTGGAGATCGGGACATGCGATTGCGTGATGACCGTTGGACCGAAGCAGTTTCCAACTGTCATTCCTTCAGAATGTAAGCGAATAATCCAGCAACACCCGATGGTCGACTTCTTCACAGCAAGTTCAAGGCGTCGCCGCGTGCCCAGCAGGGAATTGAAAGACTGAGCTTGCTGGACGCCTGCAGAATGCTCAGCTTAATCAGTGGTTATAGGAACGATATGAGGTGTATATAAACATTACATATTGTGAAAATTTTAACGTTAGTGACTACTATGAAGTAGTTCTGATGAAGTAGCAGAAAACCCAGATACTTTTAAAAATTTTAATATCCAGTCAACTAACCAGGATTTGCTGAAACCAAGTTCGCCAGCGCTTCTGTGCACATCACAACTTTTTCGTCAGTAGACATCTTATTGGCATTCGAAGAAGACCAATCGATGTCTATCAAATCGCCATTTGCTGGCTTTCAGATGACCGGTGAGCTCAGGTGCATGGCGTCCCATGAAATCCAACAAATCCATAGCCACTTTCTGCGGCGGCCTGGAGAATAGCTACAAATTAAGCGTAGAGAAACAGCCCTACAATGTGAGCGTGTATAGGAAAATGATAAAACATACTTGTAGAACAAAGGTCGGCTGTTCGTTGTAGATCCGCACAAATATATCACCAACGATCAATTCTTTAGCGTGAATCGACAGTTGGAACTCTGCGCCAAACAATTCACTCTAGAAATTATCAAGTTTAAAAAATTTCAGAAGGCGCTCAGTACTTGTATGTCGGACTGTACCGTTTGTTCTCTCGATGTGCGATGTCGTTCAACGAACTCCAGCACCTCGGCACGAGTCCCATTATCCCAGATGAGATATGGATTCTCCGTGTTACAATTCAGGGTTTTCAGAACCTGAAAATTAGAAGAGTGCAAACTTGGTTTCTGAGCAAAATGAAAGCCTACTCTGTGAATCAAACTCTTAGACCTGGACAATATCACAGTAACGACACTAGAAATTGAAGGTAAAAGCTCTCAAAAAGCCCTTCCAAGATCTCCCACTTGACTGCATGAAGAAATATTGAAAAACAACCGATGCGGCTTGATTAGTTAAATAAAGCAACAGAACTGGCTAATTAGGATCAAACAGTATTCCAACGTTTGCAGAAGGAACTCACCATATCATTACTTTCTGTTCGCATACATCGGCAAACGTACGGCGTCAGGAGTGCTCGCAAACTGTTCTGGACACCATCGTTATCGGGGGTAGCTTCTCTGCAATGATATCATACTTCTTCAAATCCATAAACCTGTTTCAAATGCAAAAAGAATCAAGGTGGATAGTTTGCGAGGCGAAATTACCTGAATCCAGCCAGACATGCTAACGCTTCACAACTGACCCGAGCCAGACGATTTGCCATTGCTTGCTTGTTTGATTGCTCACTATGGGAAACGCCTTAACGACAAACTGTATGATTAAGTGTACACCAACACAAGAAAGACAAAAGAAACTCACACTCCCATGAAAAGCTTAGTAGATAAAACGAGGTTGACTTATATGAAGAACCTACCGCCTTCATCGAGAGTGAAGTCGTAATGGAAAAGATGTGGAACAAGTTGCCACAGTACACCTGACTGGAACAATTGAGTCTGCAGCAGGGTGTCCACAGCCATCGAACAGACACACTGAGCAGCAGCCGATGACAGCCGGGGGAGATCCTGTACAGGAATCACCATTTCCCCATCATTAATTAAAAACGACAAAACAAAAAATCCAACCGTATGAAACAAATATTGATATTTCGATCATTATTTAGTCACTGCCAAAGCGCCACAGCTTAACCTAATGACTTCAAATCATCAACAAATATATTAATTTTAGTTTCTTACCTTTCACATGAGGATATATTATAAGAACTATAGCTTCATTTAATAAACACACCGGGAATTGGAGCAATCGACATATGTTGCCGAACACAGTGGGCATCTCTGCGATTCGCTGACGACAAGCTTCAAAGCTAGCAGCAGTAGCAAAACAATTACAAATATGTTCGCAAACCTGCAAAATTACTTCCTTTCTTTACCATCTACAGGGGCACAATACATAGTTAATCAACTAACAAGACAATGATCATTGAAAAAAAAACATAAGAACACCCACTTGTACGGCCATATCTGTTGGTGTGGAACTCGCGGTTATTACCGGCACACAGCGATCGAATGCTATTTGAAGAGCCTAAATATAAACACTAAAGATATTCCAAGAGCTCAAGAGACTTCTACACGACCCTACATTAGGGCAGAAACTCCAACGCAAATATGTATGACCAAACAGGAGCTTTGCCACTAGACAATTCACATCCTATGGCTTAGCTGCGAATAATATTATAAGGTTGTTAAGCGGTTGTAATCTTTTCTTTAGAAATAACGCAATCCTACTGGCCACATTTTCGCGTCGACCACAAGCAAAGTGAATAACTGACGTAGAAAAGCGCAGTACATCGTTTGCCAGATAACTCACCTCTAACCCTTGTTCTCTTCGTAACTGTTCAGCATTCAGCGCGCTACTCATCAATGTATGGTTGGCCAGTTCCACAGCTGCGCTGAGTAACGCGCCGCCACCTTCTTGGAATAGTGAGGAGTTCTTGGCCTCAAGGTCGATTGTTCGAATCAATTGACCATAACCAGCGTACTTGTAAGCAGACAGCTCTGAATCATCACAATTGAGAGAAAGAAAAGAACGAAAGACGAAAGAAGAGAGCTGGTCAAATTGTGACAAGAAAATGACCTTCATCTTCCACTATAAAAAAGTGATCCATGTTAGCCAAGTCATTGTGAGCAAGAACTAACCATACACCTACTCAGTGAGCCTGGCTGCGATAAATGCATTTACAGTTTTTCTGACAGCAAGTTATTTAGAAATATTATATATCACCAGTTTAGCTCCGCACGCAACCGCGCGCATCAAATGGTGGGCTTTAGTGAAACTGGACAACTTGCTGAATATTAGGTCACGTGAGAAACTAACAGTAAGATGTTTGGAAGATGTGTCACATATGATGTTTGAAGGTTGTCTTATCCCATTGAAGATTGTCGCGTATTGCGCGCAGTGCATGCGGAATGAAGCTGGTACTTATCATGACTTCGTAAACATTCAGCATTCATATCGAGCTCGAATGATTTAGCGGTTTATAGAATTTCCATAAATACTGAGAATCGCAACGGCGCCCGCGACGAATGGTGTGTAAGTGAAATATAACCAATCAATCAGCATCTAACCGAGCTGTGATGGAAATTGGAAATATAATGGAAATTCGCTATTGGTCCAAGTCCAGATAGTTGAGCAGCTCAACTTTCTTTGCTTCTTTAGATGAAAGGTAGGAATGGAACATATTCACGTGCTAGGGACCTGGTTTAGTTCAATTGAGTGCACGCTCAACTGTCGCTACTTTTATCAGTACAGTTGCCGCTCATACCACTTTCTGTCACCTACATTCAACCCTCGCCACCTTGATCGCTTGCCAGTGATAATTGCAACGAAGTTGGAGAGACCTGCATTCAAACGCTCTTATCATTCCTTGTCATTTGTTATCAGTTCATACTGTTCGCAATCGGTGTCCCGGTCCCAACCTCCAGGCAACGTGTAGGAGCTAATATTTACTGTCACCACGAAGGCTGCAACGAAATTAGCAGTACTCAAAATCCTAACTTCCTTATCAACCGTTATCGCTTGTTATCACTTCTGATCATCCGCTATCCGTGTTCCCGTCCCATCCCCTATACCACATGTGAGAGCCAAGGTTCCAATGTAACCGCAAGGGCCGCAACGAAACTGGTGGTATCCACACTTTGACGCCCCTTATCAGTTCTTATCAGTTGCTACCACATTCGTTCACTCAACTTCTTGGTCCCCGCCTCACCCCACATATCATACATGAGTGCAAACTCTCCACCGTCAACGCGAACGGTGTAACGAAATTGGTGACATCAACATTTCGACGTCCGTTATCAGCTCCTATCAGTAGTTATCACTTCCCGCCACCCGTCATCAGTGTGTTCACCTCCGGCCCCCTATATATCCTAGAAGTTTGAGCGCTCTGGGTCCAAAGGGGGTGAAGTTATGAATTTCCGGTCAGACACACACACACACACACACACACACACAACCGCTTAGCCGATTATATATAGTAGGATAAAGCAGTAACCAAAGGCTTTTTACAGTGACTTCTTATTAGGTTACTATAGTGGGCCAAGAAGCTAAAAAAGAAAAATTCATCAACATTTAATAGCAGTAATGCAGGGATTTAAAGACCAGCAAGATCGAATTTCTTGTAAGTTGCAACAGTACGAGGATCCCCGCTACAAAAAAAAAAAGTTTCTCCGCACGTTGACCGCTTCGCGTATCCTGCAGGTTTTGATGGGCATCAATCCAACACTCCAAAGAGTGCAGGTCACAGGAGCTGACGCCTAGTTTCCGTACCATTCTTGTATTGCATCCACTTGTTCTCGTTCATCCACCGTTCTTACTGTGGCCAGAATAATATACCAGAAAGTTTCACAAGAATGCTAAGCGAGAGGTGCGGGTTCTAGTCCCGCCTGGGGCGAAAGTTTTGTTCACAACCCAGCATTCTTGTGAAACATTCGCAACGCGAACTGCGGCCAAAAACAGCAGTTAACAAAAAAACAAGTCAAAATTACCAAAAAATATAGTACTGCAAGCGAAGCAGTCTGCTAGCTTAGACGGATTTACAAAAGGTGTAATATGGACAGTTGAATACACTCTATACTGATTTGGAAAGAACATATCGCAGCCAGTGGATGGAAATGATGAAGCAGATGGGGAAGGGGAGGGGAAAGGGAGACCGCTCAGAGGTGAGCTCCTATAGGGTATTTTTAAATTCCAAAAGTGGCAGGCTGGGAATGTTAGAGGTATCACGATAAACTGTTTGCAGTATGGAAGTACATGCACCAGTGTAGCAGTAGTCAGGGGCCGAGGAAAGCGAAATGTGCGTTTTCGCGGCCAAAGGTGCGCTACTCGCAGCGCACTGGGCTTGCCAGTCCTGACTGCGCTCCGCCTCCGCCTGTACTCCACCCACCGGTGTATTGCCAATAGCAGTATCGGATGGTGGCTATCGAGCTAGCGCGTGCAATCGACCCCTTAGTTGATTACCAGCTCGTCCATGGTCGTAGATAAAAGAACAAATTAAGCGGTCCTTTTTGGGTGTTCCAGAGGGATATCTTTTTTCACCAGTGACGTATTACTCAACATCCCCGCTTTCACAGTAAATTCAACCTGATTTCAGGGTCGTCCCTCCATTTGAGCTTTTAGAAGACCAGCACAAGAATCTTTGCGAATTTCAGCTACGAGAGAAGACAATTACCATTACACTGTCATTACGCATTACATTTTACTGCAACGTTTGCATAAAAGAAAAAGATAACTCTAGTGTCTGTAAGTTATGTTCTGCATCAACAACGACGCTGACAGGGCTAGCAAGGCTCCCAGAACAACAAACAATAAATTAAAACTCTTGGGTCATTCACATATGTAGCTTCTGGGCTCAGTAAACATTAACCAGGAATGACAAACCTTGGGAATGACGGCTATAAATGATGCTCTGCGCCTGAAGGAATAAAACAATGCGCTGTGGGTCAGGCATCGATGATCGACCAGCGTCACTTGACAGCAACTCGTAAGCCGTGTTGATTCGCTCGAACATCTCACGACCTTCCGGATTTTTATCAGGATGGTAACGTGCTGCCAATTTAAAGTAGGCACGACGGATCACTGACATGTCCTGCCATCTAAACGATGACAACTCCACATATCTGATTTGTAAACAATGTGTCCATAACTCTGTATCATTATTCAAAAATAAACTTTGCAGTACACAAACTAACCCATCATCCATGGTGTTCAGACCGAGAGTTTCTCGTGCTTGTTCAACTGACATCACCGGTGGCTTTTTCTCCAACTCCTCAAACCATGCTGCTAAGCAAGCACGTAGGAAAGGAATCTAAACAGAAGAAGAATTTCACGGGTTGCAATACTGAGTGACGATTCAGGGAGCCATGCGATTTCATCGGTAAAATTGAAGGTTCCAGGAAAATATACTCTTGTGACACCGAACACAAGGTGCATAAAGAAGATGCAGGACTGAGAGGTTCTGACATTTCAGACTTGTGAGAATAATGTAGAAAAACAAATTTAAAAAAGCATGAGGCAAGAAAAGAGATGCACCAAAACAGGGTCAGATTTTAAGAAAAAAAAAGCTGTTGTATAACGAATGCCAAAAGAAGAATTAAGTGATTGAGAGTGGAAAATTGCAGAAATCAATTGTCGGCGATAGCTCGAAGTAAATGTAGTGAAATCGAAAAGAAACAATGAAATCGTCACATCTTACCGGATCCCTAATTTCCCAATCAGGAAATCGTTGCCGATCGCAAAGATGTCGCAGGTAATATACGTAGCAGAACAGTTCATTCTGTAGTTCAGGATAGTCAATTAGAGGGATCGGACAGTACTGATACAAAGCCTGCAAGATGACTTCTATAGTCTAACAATCGCATTAAAATTCGGTTAGAAAGCCTTTTACCTTCACGTTTGAGGTGAGGCGATTGGAAAAGTCGGAAACGTGCACAGCAATTCGCTCAATAAGATGGCGCCTTAAACAAATAAATTCGAGAATAAAAACGCTAATAAAAAATACCGATCAGAACGGGCACCAATAGAAAAAATTTAGTGGAGAAGGCAAGCAAAAACTGATCAGAAAATTTAATGCTCGTTTCCTCGATAGTCCCTATTTCTTAACAATGTAAACTTTACCTCATCTGGGTACTCCAAATGATCTCCGGATTATCGAACTCTCCCAGGAAGACCTCTGCGTACTTGTCTGGCCCATACTCATCCAGGTAAAAGATGGCTGCAGCTGGGAGCAGCGGGGCAAGAATAGACTGTGACGTTCCCTCCAGTTGAGGCTTCAACAGTAATTACATAGAAATCTAATTAATTCGACAATGAATTCGCTCACTCACCAATGCGGTACGGAATGCTTGCTTCTTATGTGTGTAATGTAAAAACCTAGCAATCGGTAAAACATTAGAACCGTTATACATGAGAATAAAGAAGAATACACCGGATAAATACAATCGAGGAAGGAAAGGATTATCCTGAAAGTCAGTTGTTTCGACCAATAATTCAGTCCGCGGGACCGGACAGAAGAAGTAGGATTTTACCTTGGCATATGACTTAAAGTGCCACCAGGAGTAGCGACCCGGTTGCACAAAATGTTGGATAATGACACGTCAGCAATAGGCTGCAAACACGACTTTCGATAGCAAGTTAACACGCGATTTCGCTTTGAGACTGTGTTTCTTCACTTGTGGATAGGACGTACGGACACTGTTGTTTCTCGTTCCCTCCGTAAAACGTTCTCAAACGCTCTACAAATGCTCATCAAACTTATAAAAAGCTCCTTGTCTTGAGCTTGAAAGAAAAACGTTCGGTCACTGAAAATCTATACCTCGATGGAAAGAATTCGCACATCTGGATCATTATATCTAGACACAGCGAGCATAAGCTGCGTGAAGGTGATTAGCACGCGGTCTCCGTGCCAACCTTAAGCAAATGTGATTGAGGAGCAGAACAGCATTACTGTCAACACGGTTGAGCAGAGGACGTTGGTGAGCCCTCTTGTGCTTAAGTGACGGATTTGACAGAGACGAGGCAAGCCGTGCTATCCCCTCTTCTTCTTTTGAAGTGGAAAGTAGGCGGGGAAAAAGGGGAGTTGTACTTGTTTACGAGAGTAGCGTTATGTAAGTATCAATTTCGTTCAGTGCTCTTATACGAGTGAGTAGGAGATTGTTGCCCTAGTAGTTTAGAAAACTCAGGCTTCTCCTTCGTGAGATCATGGCGCTCACCACCAACGTACAGCTTTTTTACAGTCATACTTAGAAAGCACAACCTGTTAGGTTTTCTTTCTTTAAATTACAGGATTGGCTTTTTGAGACCCACAAAAGAAATACCCTTTCAAAGCTGTTCTGTATGTCGCGTTCTGTGTTTACTCCTTTGGTATTTTTCCTAGTGCTTGTAAACCAATTTCGTATCACTTTGCAAGTTGAGAAGAAAAAGTTTGCACCACATAGGGAAGTGCTGAAAACAAGGTTCTGTCACAAGGGTTACATAACTTTCTCGACTGAGAAGCGTTGAAGGAAGATTCTACGATAAGGTTGAAGGTCGAAGACGGGGAAACTTACCCAGTGGAAAAACAGGCGAAACCCCTGAGGGCGCGAACCGACATGCGATTCACAACGAAGATATGATTCCAAAGGCCTAGCACGGCCGCCCTTGCGGCTCCATGGACGCGACATACAGAACGGCTAGCTAACACTCGCCGCAGGTCTCTAGCTGTTAAGCAGGGAGAGAGAGAGAGCGTTAGCGTTGAAGAGGGCAACAGGGGAGAGGTATCACTTAACAGGTTCTGAACCGTTTCTCATAATTTTTTTTTGATCCCGGCACAACTGACCTCCTCTACCTTGATTCCTGCTGGGCTGCCCGTTCATGGTGAACTCCGCCTTTGAAGATTGCATTTGAATTCTAACTTACGTAATCCAATCCGTTAATTAGCTCACATAGCGTACTTCCTGTGATTTCCCTTTTAACACTTGCAACAAAAAGAAATTAATGCTATACCTGTTGGTTCCCAAGGCACACAGTCCAACGAAACTGCGGCACCTTACTGAGTGGTTCCCACTTCTCCATTCCTGCTGCCCATACCGCCGTTTTTTCGAATATCTTCTTCTCCCCGTACAAAGTTTTCATCTGGAAAAAAAAACATTGGAATCTATACAACCAAGAAATCCATTCTAAACTTGTTTAGAATGTTCGTTATTCACCATAATCGACAAAGCCCATACGTTAGAAGACTGACCTTCTCAAAAGAAAACGGTCCGAGCCGTTCCTTGTTGTTATCACTGGTGGCGTAGTACCACTCAGCGGAATTCCCTTCTGAGAGTTGATCAGCGCTAGCTTCTATTACGTTTGTCTGGAAGCATGATATTAAGATACACGGGGCGAAAGTAGTTATGCAAGTGGTGTTAAGGATATTATTACATATTATAGTTTTAATTCATTTAGAACGCCACTACGATTCTAAATAAGTAGAATGCGTGGCGCACTCACTTGATTCTGAATTTTGGCACGTTGAACATGAAGATGAGCCAGCACAGCCAGGTCGACGAGAATTGGAAGAAGTGAGGAACCGATCAGCTCACGCACGTTATCTTTGTTCAGAACTAACTTTGAAATTAGCAAAATCTGGAATGCTTTCAACTATTCTAATGAAAAGGTATGAGAAAATGAAGTTATAGATTAGAACAGTATTATAACTACTCACGAAATGGTCCCTTTCTGCTGCATTTGTACACTTGGCGAGCATGCTGACAAAGTGGCGCGCATCCTCAAACGGTCCTATTGTCATGTGATGGCGACCATAAGTAACGGCCATGGCACGCAGACATAAGCATCTCATCTCACTTCGCGAGGACAATAGAAAACGATGATAAACGTTGTTGAAAAATTCCGTTCTGAAAAGGGGATAAGATGCAATGCGACAACTTATCACGAAATATCGATAGTGTTAAACGCACGGGTTATGAATAGGAGTTCGCTGATTCATCAGCTTCCTGTAGTAAGAGACGAAGATAGTAGTCACCAATTTTTACTTCATCCTGCAGCGAAGGATAGCGAGTCTGAAATTCCGAAAAAATATATGAAAGTGGCAAAAGAAAACACAAACCATATATCTTTAGCACACTACACTACAAAAAATGGCAATATTATTATACATAGTTACAGAGTTGGAGGTTTCTACGTTGAAGTTAACAATTTTTTTTCGTAAGCTTTGTTTTAATTCGTGCACAGTTTTTGGTTGTGGTGGTCCTCAAGTAAGGAATGAATCCCTCTGCATATAAAGCAGTAATTCGGTGTGCCAGTAGCTCGCTCGTTACGTGGACCCAAGAGAACAACTGAGACATGGTCTCGGATGGGTGGGATGTGGCCCTTAGGGCGTATGGGTGGAGGGCAATGCTTGGTTAGAAGCGGGTACGTAGTGGGTGGAGCCCATCCCAGTGAGCGGGGCTTACGCCAAAATCTGTTGAAAACATCAGTTTGCGCAGAGTCGGATAAACAAATTACACCACAACATTGCAATGTGCCAAGCTATCGAAAAAGCTGCGCAAGTGTCATGCGAGATGGTGTGTGTCATTAGTGCGGCAGAAAGCAATTTAGCAATGTGGAGGTTGTGCCCAAAACAGCGTGATACGACGTTCTTAAAAGCAGTTTAGAATCACAATTCTGCCCATTGTAATCAACTCCACGGCTCGGGATAAGATTCCAAGTAGTCTATCCTAGAGTGAGAAAGAGGGTCCCCAAGCGCAGGAGACACTGTCGCGACTCAAAAGTGCGAGGCAACGGCGCTAAGGCCTTGCCTTGTGTGCTGCCGTGCTGCCATCCTTATCAACCACGGCATACGTGGCGTCTGCGCCCTCTCGCGTACGACGTACTCTCTCGCGTTTTCCCTCTCCTCGCAGCGCTGTGTCTCTGTCATACCACGGCCAACCTCACAAGCATTTCAGTGTTTTCTATGGCACTTACTTTTTGTGAAATTTTCAAACAAAATATTACACCAACTCGACCCCGATCCGTGCACTTAGAAAGGGGTGATCAGTGGTGACATGAGAAACCGCCCAGGTCCCAAAAATGGGACCCTTTCACTGCCCGTTGATTTCCGTATTGATGCGACTCTCATCGGTGCTGCCCTCTTCAACGCTAACGCTCTCTCTCTGCTGAACGGCTAGAGACCTGCGGCGAGTGGTTAGCCAGTCGGTGGGCGTGCCGCAGCGATAGCGGCGCGGGGACAGCCATGCTAGATCGCCGGAAGCATATCCTTCGCTGCGAATTGCATGACGTCCGCACCCTTAGGGGTTCGTCTGTCTTCCCACTAGCTACGTTTCCCTTCTTCTTACAGTTTATCGTGAAAAGCTCCTTTAGGCTTTTCTGTGTATTCATTTTAAATATGTTATTTACTGAAATAAAAGTGAAAGAACAGAAACCTGGAATTCGGTATGATTCCATGAGATCGGCATATCTGCCGGTGCTTGCTCTTTTTCGTTCAGAAGTGCACGAAGTTCACCCTCTATAGATAACCTAAATGCGCTCTGAACACCTTTTAGAAGTCAGAATCTCACTGGAAAATGTTCAGAAATTCATGAAAATTGAAAAATCTAACGAGGCTTACCTAAACTCCTCTCGGGTCTTTTCATTCCACAGCAGATCAGCTTGAGAATGATCCCGTCCAAATTGATACGCAAACAGCTTCCAGTTTACTGAATTCCTAACACGCTGCCGCCTCTTTCGTAAAACTACCGGTCGCTGCCGCTGTTTATCCTTGAATAGTTCATTTTTCTACTATACTCTTGCCAACAGGAAGGGCATAAAGACAGAACATTTTTTGTCTGAACAAAAATGGATTAATTATCGATCGGATTTGGATGCTGATTGAATTTTGAGACGGAGAGCTTTGCTGCGGCGAAAAACATAACCAATTGAGAAGGGAAGTTCTGTCAACAGATTAGGTCCAAAGTTACATGTTATACAAAAGTTATTCAAAAAGTCGCAAAGAACTTTCAATTAAGATCACTCACATCAGTCTTCTTGGGTATGAAATTCAATTTCTGTTCAAGGTCCCAATGTTGGATAAATCGTTCCAAACCTGCCTCAGCTGATACTCTGAATAAATGAATGAATGACAATGTTTACCAACACTTTCATCTTTCGCAGTTTGTTTACAAGCAATCTAAAATAGTCTGACCTGAAACTTTCCAGCTTTTCCTTCAAGGCGCTCTGCCGTAACTCGTTTGTTGCCGCTTCTAGATTATTTCGTGGGATCAGCAAATCTTGTTCCTTCACAGGCACTGGATCGCTAGAATCCAAAAAGTCCAATAGACCCCGAGGCTGAAAATGTAATAAGGATCATTAAAAATATGAGGAAGACACACCGAAAAAAACGAATGAATATGCTTCATAAAGTGGAAAAATCCTCAAAGGTTGTCAGCGGAAACTCACAAGACATCGACTCAAAAGGTCATTAGCTGGACGATTATCTGCAATCCAAAGACCGATCAAATGACCACTCAGTTGTTTATTTGTGAGAACCTGAAAGAATATCCTTTTACAGATTCTCCAGTAATCAGCTTTGAAGCGAAGTAACTCTCCTAGCCGTCCCTGTCTTATCTTACAAAAACATGATTAGTTAGCCGGTAGGTAACCATGATCGATCGATGTATATTGAAACTAACGATATGAAGCAGCGCGGATCGGGTGATCCAAGAGTCGAGAAAATTTTGATCAATATAACCCCATTCATACTCCATAAGACCACCTTCTTATTCACTCTCTCACAACTCTTTGAAATAGCACAATTCCACACGACCTCTTCCTCACCTTCCTAATCAAACAGGTGATGAGTGGTTGAACTCACGATCAGTATAGTAGAACTGCTCTCATATTTTGCGCTACATTCGCACACACTTCAATTGATTAGTTGTACCCAAATATGTATGGGCGAAATGCACAGTAAAAACCAGTTACCATCAGTTAAGCGCATAGACATACCACTCCCAGAGGTTTGGGCCAGAGCCGCGCCTGAGAATTTCGAGAATCGAAGCTTGCAACACATACAGGTGGGTTCACTTTGAGGGGCTTCTTTTCACTCTATTAGGCGATCTAAGCTCTTGATTAGAACTTAGTATGATACTGTGATGTAAGTGTTCGATTTTAGCAAAAAAAAACTACTCACCTCCAGATCCTTCCCTGTCGTCAGTAACGCCATCCTCAAATGTGTCAGAAATGCGCCTTCTGTAAGTGCTAACATCTGCATTGATTTTGATGTTTCCACGTCCGACTCTTCAATGATAGCTCGCATCACCATTCCAGCGCCTACAACTCAATACGAGAAGGCAATGAATTTAGTAGATACAAAACAACCGTACTATATCATTAACAATATTCATTAATTAATTAATCAATTTATTTGTTTATGTCGATCAAGAGCTTACCTTTGACAATTGTCATGCTAGGACATTGGAAAAGACGATAGAAACTTTGACCTCGCGCAGCAACCAGCTTGAGTATCTGGTCGAACTGTTCACCGGCTGTCGTCTCGCTGTATGGTGCACAGACTGCGTAAGTCAGGAAATCAAGCATTGCAGCAATAACAAGCCATCCAGTACCACGTTCCTTAACGGATTACTTAGCTAAAAACTCTGAGCTTCAAATG